GCCTGGTGCCTCGGAGTGTCTTACCTTGAACATATTTCGGGCCTACTGAGTGACAATGGCGCATGTTAAAGCGAATAATACGCAAGAGGCCGTTGTCAGCACGGAGAATTATGACTGAGGAGCAACCAATTTTCTGTGTCCTATTCCGAGGTTTGCCTTTGCGGCGACTTTCTCCGTAATGAAAACATGCGTAAGTCAATCGCCTGTAGACAAGAGTATCCCTTAGTGGGTGGTTCTCGGAAAATTTATCCCCCTTCCACTTCGTGTACTGGGATCCTGTCGCCTATTGCATGAATTAGGATAAATAGTCAAACGCAAGTTTACCATTTCAAATTCCTTTAACCTAGTTTCAAATTCACTGAAAGTTGAAAACCACATCTGGGGGAAAGCCGCCATAAATTCCTTCGAACGATCGTTTAAACCTTAGAGTTTGAGACAGAAGTAGGCAAAACTTACCTCCGCTGCTGGGCACAGCAAGAGCATAGTCGACATCCTCGAAACCTTCGGCGTCCAGATCATCTTCCATTAAGTTTTTTGGCTGAACCGTATGATTATGGTCCATGTTCCAATCAGAAACGGTCAGAACGCCGCCTGCGCCGCTAACTTTGATGCGCGACGGACACATGCTACCACTTTTCCTGTCCAACAGTTCATGAAAAAGGTGGCAGCGGAGTTACTTTCGAATTCCTCGTCCACCATAGAAAGAGCAACAGAAGACAATGTTGCGGTAGATTATAGTGGAACGTTCGGGCCTGTTCTCCTTGAACCGGTTAGTATTGTCCTTTACATACACAAATCCGGTTGCCTAAAGAGTTAGAGAGAATCCACATTTCTTTCGCTTACTTCTTGAAAGGCGCTGAACGCAGTTTTGAACTCCTCAAAGGTAGCATAACTCCGAGAGGCGACAACTTCCGCGAACAGCCCAGCGACATCCATACGTGCGAACACCCGCACGTGAACGACTGACCGCGAGCGGCTGTCGCGCCGACATAGGCAACAGGCCAAGGTTGCGTGCTGATTGGCGGAAATGTGGATCGGCTTCGCCAATGAGGTATGTCGCCGTAGGCCTGACACAT